TCTCTCCACCTGTTCACGGGGACCTGCAACTGCCCGGCGGTTCCGAGCCGTGAAGGATGCTGATACGGGATCTGGCAGGATGGTGCCTTGTGGACGCAAATAACCCTGACCTACAAAAATCATCAAAAACAACCACCACACAAAGTGCAGAAGAAAAGAAATCTCTCTTGGGAGGGAGGACCGCTTCTGAAAAGAACAGATACGCGAGTGCTTTGATGTCTAAAAGCCGGAAGAACTCAGAGGCCTGGGAAGAGGAAACTTTAAAAATAGAACTGTTTTTAAGTTCTCAGTACTTCACTCAGAACCAGGTCTCCCAAAGACTTTTGGAGGATGTCATCGGTGATAGCTAACATTTATTGATGATTGGCCATGTGCTGAGACCACCGGATATATTGGATGTGCCTAACAAAAAATGAGGCAGCTATTATCATCATCCTTGTCTTAGACATGGGGAAACTGAGGCTAATCAAAGTCAGCCTCCTTGTGCAGGGTCTCACCAGTGGTGTGGTAGAGTCCAGCAGTAAAAACCCAAGCAGTGTGACTCCCCTGTGCACAATCCCATTTCCCGCCAGCAATCAGCCTACCAAAAGTAGCACGGCTGGCTTCTGTAGGGAAACTGCCTGGTGATGCGGACATAGCTCCAAATTCATACTTAGCACTAAGTGGTCGAGCTGTTTCCCCAGTGCAGTCATTGAGTGGGGCTGACGTACTTACTCGCCGACTCTGGTTCAGAAAAGGTCAGGTCGGAACCCATCCAGAGATACCAGCTCTAGGCAGAACGAGCCGAACAATAATTTGTTCCCGCCAAAGTGACATTTTTCCAATTTGAGTTCAACATTGTTCAGAAGCGAGTGCGGTCCCCTGGGGCGCCTCCTGCGTAGATCTGCAGCGGATGACAAATCAACAGTATCATCTAAATAAAAAATCCAGCATGGTTTAGTCAATTAATCTTGACAAGAATAAATTGAATAATCTCAGGGAAATGGCAAGAGCTTGGATTCCGCCAGACGGCTTTTTTCTGCCACTTGCTTGCGTCCTTGGTGGCAGATTAAAAACAAAAATCTGCCTTTCGTGTATTGATGCCGTTAGTGTGTTGATTAACAACTACCACGTCTGTGTGGGTAAATCACAATCAGATATGGACTCTTCCCCACAAACCCAACATCTTTTCACTGGAGTAGAGAAAGGAAATACATATTTCACCCTGTCAGAACAGGCGAACGCAGACGGGGAGTGGCTTTTTTCCACCTCGTTTCTGAATGGCATTTTCTAGGTTTAAAAATCATCTGTGATTTTCGTGACTCCCATACTGAGTTAATCTCTAGTTTCTCTGTATTTTTCTGAGCAGATGGACTGAGGGAGAGCTCTTCATAAGAGTGAGGGGTATTTTGCCGAGTCTAGGTCCGAAGTCAATGAAAGGACTCAGCCATTCAATTAGGAAAGCGGGTGAGAAAAGAAAGAAGATCACTCGTGTAAACATGACCCCAAGCCCTAGGACTGTGCCCTGTAGGTCATCTGGGAATCTTGTCTTAGCTTGGGCTGCCTTAAGAGCATAGCAGACGGAGTGGCTCCAACAACAGAAATTTGTTTTCTCACGGTTCTGGTGGCTAGATGTTCCAGATCGGGGTGTCAGTGTGGTCAGGGTCTGATGAAGGCCTCTTCCTGGTATTTAGACAATTGACTTCTGTGTCCTCACATGGACTTCCCTGGCCTTGTGCTTGCAGGGGGCTGGGGGGAGGGAGAAAAGTGAAAGAGAAGGGGGGATGTCTTGCATCTCTTCTCATAAGAACATCGATTCTGTCCAGTCAAAGCCCTACTCTTATGACCTCATTTAATCTTAATTATTTCCTTAGTGGCCCCATCTCCAAATGGAGCCACAGTGGGGGTTAGAACTACAATATATGAATTCGGTGGTGGGTGGGGGTGCATTCAGCTGCTTCTCTAGCTATGTTTGCTGTGAATAACCCTCCCTCCCAGGGAAAAGAGTGAAACATGTGGCCTGAATTATCTAGACTGACCAACCACCATGACTACAATAAAATCACCTGGAATGAATGGGAAGCGTCTGGTATTTGGAGCCATTTCTAGGCATAGAGTTAAGCTCCACCATTGTGTGACCCGAGGTGACCTAATGGCTAATCTCGATTTTTATATAGTGAAAAAGTAAACCTAAATAATACCATCCTTGTTCAGTTGTTGGGAATTTAGAGGCAGGGTGGGAAACACCTGGCATAGTTCCTGACACCAAAGAGATATTCAACCATGGCTCACTGTTACGATTCCATTTGCCAATATAAAAATGAAATAATTGCTATGTGAATCTTCACCTTATGATATTGTGCCTTTTTGTCCCACTCTTAATCCACATGGGCCTAGAATTTGCTGAGTTTGCTTAAGAAATCACTACAGTGATGCCTGTCCTAATGATCTATCCACAGAGTAGACCCCACTACTTCTTGATGAGAAAATAAACATTTCTATAGACTTAGCCCGAACAGAGCTTCTGTTGTTTGCAGATCCTGACACCACCTGCTACACCCATTCTTTCCCCGTGTCCATGGCCAGCATGCCCAGACCAGAAGCCTTGGAGTGGTCCTTGGCTACCATCTTTCCCTCCCACCCCATATCCGGACCTTCAAGACACCTTGCAGTAGCCCCCAAACTGGTCTCCCCGCTCGCATCCTTAATTCTCGACTGCCTATTCTGTTAGAACACAAATCAGATCATGCCTGTCCTCTTTTCAAATCCCTCGAGTGAAAACAACAAGTGCTAATGAGGATGTGAAAAGATTCAAACCCTTGTGCATTCCTGGGGGGAATATAAAAGGGTGCATGCAGCAGCTGTGGAAAACAGCACGGGGATTCCTCAAGAAATTAAATGTAGAATTAACATAGGATTCAGCAGTTATGTCCATGCTCACAGCAGTGGAAACAACCCAAGTGTCCATGGACGGACACTTAAGGGTGGGTGAACAAAATGTGATGTATCCACACAATGGAGTATTGTTCAGCCTCAGGATGGAATGAAACTCTGACATACGCTCCCACATTGATGGACCTTGAAACGTGATGCTAAGTGGAATTAGCCAGGCACAGGAGCACATGTCTTGTACGATTCCACTTACACAAGTGTTGTGGGCTAAATTGTGTCCCTCCAAAATTCCTGTGTTGAAGCCCTTACCGCCAGTGTGACTGTATTTGGAGATTGGGTCTTTGGGGAGGTAATTAAGGTTAATGGAGGTCATAAGGGTGGGACCCTAATCCAGGAGGACAGGTGTCCTTAGGAGAAGAAGAGACACCAGATCAGTCTCTTTCTGTGCAGGCACAGTGAGAAGGCGGCATCCACAAGCCAGGAAGAGAGCCCTCACCAGGAACACAGACAGAACTTGAACTTCCAGCCTCCAGAACTTGGAGAAAATAAATTTCCATTGTTTGGGCCCCCAGTTCTGTGGTATTTTGTGATGGCATTCCTAGCAGAGTGATAAAACAGGGTGTCTAGAGTAGCCGAACTGACAGAAAGTGGGGTTGTGGTTGCCTGGAGCTGGGAAGACGGAGAATGGGGCATTATTGTTAAATGAGGACGGTTTTGGAAGATGAAAAAGTTCTGGAGAAGGATGGTGGCGATGGTTACACAATGATGTAAATGTAGTTAATGCCACTGAACGGTGCACTTAGAAATGGCAAAATGGTTAATGTGTGTATTTTACAAAAATAACACAACTCAGTGGTTCCTCACCTCTCTTAGAATAAAAGAGAACATCCTCCTCTTCATGTCCCTATTTTCCTCTCTCACTGCTTCCCAGCCACAGGGACCTCCACGCCCTTGTGTGGCTGGAGATGCATTTCCCATTTGGGGCTTTGCACTCACTCCTCCCTGCCCTTGCCTGGGGTCCCCTTCCCCAGTTGGCTACTTGGCTCATCCCCTAACTTCCTTCAAGCCTTTGCTCAGGTGCCACTTCTTTTTACATGTAAAATCTTATTCCTTGCTCTCAGTTTCCCATCCCCTCCTCCAGGCTTTGTTTTTCTTCATAGTACCTATACTTTTCTGAATTCCATTTACTTGTGTGCGGTTTTTATCGTCTGTCTCTTCCAACAGAATGTGACCCTCACCAGGGCAGGGCCTCCAGCTGTGTCGTGCATTACTGAGTCTTCTGTGCCTTGGGCAGGGCCAGGCAGGCAGTAGGTGCCGAGGATGTTTCATTTGAATGAGTGAATTTCTGTCACAGTTGCTTTTGGAAATGTGTCTGTCATTCCATCTAACTAGTGAGTTCCTTGAGGGTAGGAACCATGATTTTTTCACCTTTCTCTTCTAGAATAACAGGAAAAGAAATGCATAAAAAGTAGGTGTGCAAGAAATATGGATGGATGGATAGATGATTGGATGGGTGGGTGCATGGGTAGATGGATGGAGGATGGATGGATGGAGGATGAATGGACGATTGGATGGATTGGTGAGTGGGTAGATGGGTGGATGGAAGATGAATGGATGATTGGATGGATTGGTGGATGAGTGGATGAATGGACAGATGGAGGATGGATGAAGGATTGGATGGATAGCTGGGTAGGTGGATGTGTGGATGGAAGGACGAAAAATAGGTAGTGGTGGTTTTTCATTGACACGAGATAGATCTGACTATGCTAAATTTGGAATGGGAGAGACATTACATTCCAATTAAAGGCAGTCTCTGCTGATATGAGTGAAGATACTTGGGGTGGGTTATTTTATCCATCAGTTCCTCTCTGTTGTGGCCTCTGACCCACGGCTATCGCCTTCACCCCACATCTGCATGTGATAAAGCTCACTTATGACATCCATATGTCTCTAATGCAAACACCATGGCATATACCTCCATAGGCACCATAAAGAGCAATGACTCGAGAAAGGACTGTTAGGAGTGGGAGCCCTTTATTATTTTAAAGGGCATTTCAACAACATCACTGAATGTTCTCTGACCGTAAGTCTGACTCCTGTCCTTTCTCTCTCTTTTCTCCTCCTCGCAGGATATCAAAGGAGACTACAATACCTGCGTGGAAATAGAAGACAGAAAGGTGAGTCGATCTTTCTCATCATTTGGGTTTTGAACAAAACAAGAACTCCGTGATTTCAACTCCAGTGTTTGAGACATGCCTCACTGGGTGATGGTTTGCAGGTGATTCATGGGCTATTAGATACTTAAAGACACTCATACTTAAAAACGTTTGCCATCCCCACCCCCTTGCAATCTGTGTTATTTCTGAGGGCTTCGGTGAAGAGTGTGTAATTAAGGTTGTGAGAAATTGGGTTCTGAGTTTCGTTCAGTCGTACCCTTCTTTTCAGGAAAATAACTCATTTATCCTTTAACTTGTGTCACATTTCAGTTGAGTATTGTTGCTGGTTACTATATATATAAAAGTATAAAATGTTACATATATTACGCAGTATGTAGTATTACATATATTATAGAATATATAATATTGGGCTTCCCCGGGGTGTCCCTATATATCTGATTCATGCACTTGGACTCGAAAAAGAGCCATGTGCCCTGACGCATTCATATGTGCATTTGAAATTAAGGGGCGAAGGTCGATTCCTACATATTTAGAGTTCAGCCTCCCCCCGTTTATCTTGTTACACTTGGTGTGGAGCCCCTCAGGAAAAGCAGCTGTTAAACAATTGTTCTTTAACATTTTCACAGCATCTCTTTATTGACAAGAGTTCACAGAAGTCTCTGTGGCAAAGCACATCCCCACAGATCAAATTTTACCCTTAATGCCTTGGATCCAAAGAGGTCAAACAAGTGAATGGAGAGTACATACCTCCCGGCTACTTTTGACATCATTCCACAGTTTTGAAAGATGTTTCTCTTTTCAGCACTACCATTATTGTCAAACGGGGTCATTATTTCAAACAGAGGTTTTCAGCTCTCATCTGAGGTGGCCCAGGTATGTCTGCCAATTAATAAGGTGGTTGAGGATTTTTCAAAACAAAATTTTGTTTTAAATGAAAAGCACTTGCCATGCATTACTTTAGGGAGTGTTAATCTCCTTGCGTCGGAAGGAATAATGATACGATAGCTTAAACTTAAGCTGCGTGATCCCAGCTTAGAGTTGTGCGTTGCTGCAGTTTGCAGGCAAAGGCGTTTCAGTTCACGTTTGCACTCACTGCGTGTTTGCGTGCTGGTGTGTGCGTGTGCGCATTTTGAGAGTTGGACAAGTGGAGTTGCTGCTTAGGAGAAATACGTGTCTAAAATATTTCACCGATGTTCTGTCCTGCCCTGTACTCAGCATGTTCCCAGACCTGCTTCCACAGTTCAGGATATTTCTGTTTCCTTGGACATTTATGGAATTCACAAGCATGTTTCTGTCTAATGTCTTTTTTTTTTTTTTAATTTGTCAGTAGTGTCTGAAAGATAACATGGGAACTGAAGCTATTAGAACAACTCAGCTCCATTACCAACAAGGTCAGTGAGCTTCCAGGTTAAGTTCTGGGTGGGTTCTGTTCCACCCGCCCAAACTGCCTTTGGTGCATATGTCGTGATGATAGTGATTGCCCAGGTGGGTGCTCTGGGATGCTCACTGGTGGAGAGACATCATCATGCTCACTCTGTGCATGGTTTCAACTCTTCTCTAAAAAGGGGAACACACACATGTACACACACACACACAGACACACGTGCATTTCTATGCGTTTTCATATATCGTTGGGTTGAGTCAGATGCTTCAAATGAAGCCTCATTTCTGAAGGTTTGTCCAGTTACATTCTCAACTTGAGCTCACATGACTGATAGAAAAATAACCAAACATTTGTCTGCAATTAATTGGTGATGACTCTTAGCGATTAAAAAAAAGAATAATGCCTACTGCAAATTGTCACTGTCTTTCTCTCAAAGATTTTTTTATTCCCTCTATTAAAGGGGGAAACTTTTCCGTCTGTCTTTTAAAAAAAAAATTCTTAGTAATGTAGTGAATCTTATATGTAGGCTGTGGCTTCTCTGGGTCTCTCAATGTGGTTAGAAGTTGGAGGCGAGGTTTTGGGAGGTGCTCTCTGTATTGGAATCCGTTCTCTTAATGGAAAAGTCAAGAAACAAACTCTAGTCAGCCCAGAGGGTCAGCAACCCCCCGCCCCTAGCAAAAGAGCGCCAGTCCCCTCCACCACCTCCCCCTCCCCACATACAGTGATACAGCGCAGGAGTGGTGGCCATCCACTTCCGAGGACGTACTCCGGTCCGCGCTGATGGGTAATTATGAAATTTCACCACTGAAGTGGTGACACTTGCTCCTGTGTGTGTGTGTGTGTGTGTCCCTCTCCATTTAATCCAAGTGCTTCTGGCAAAATCGGTAATTTGATAAAGTGGAATTGAAGTGACAAGAGACAGCAGAGGTGCCAAAATAATCAGGAAACCTGTCTCTGAAGCAGCGGCCCCTTGGCCTGTGCGGATTTTACGACTGCTGAGTGCTCCGAAGGAGAACGGCGGTGCACTCTGCGAAGCTCGGTTTCCCGCAGCTCAGAGCGCTTCGCGGGGCCCCTGCAGAACTAGACGCTTCCCAAGGATAACTTTCATTTTTTTTTTTCTTTCATCTACCCTTCCTGTCTACGTCCATTCCATATATTCTGCATATGTGCGTGTATTTGTGCGCTTCCATCTATACCCTTGTACATCGTCGATGATCTTCTTGATAGAAGAATTTTAGAAAACACAAAACCTCAGGTTTTCTATAGAGTCCAACAGAACCTCTGCAGTGGCCTGCCTCGTTCCTATTCCCTGCCATTCGTAGGACCGTTTACCTTGAGAGGAGTCATTTTCCCCTTGAATCCCAAACCAGCTATAATGACGGAAGATACATGGCGAATTTCAAGAGCTGAAGAGAGCCCTCCTCCTGATGAAGAGCCAGAAGATCGTTCTGGGCCCGCACACAGTCTGGGCTCCATCTGAGACTATTAACAGGAGGAAAGAATTTTTTTTTCTTCTCCTGTTTTTCTATTCTTCTTTATCCTAGAAGCCTGTTTTCTATCAGGCTGACAGAAAGCTTATTGTCATTTGGAAAACCTTGCCTGGCTGTGCGTGGAGGACTCATAATGTCCATTGGAATGTGTTTTTGTTTTGTTTTGTATGTTTCTCTTTTGTTTCTGATCCTGTCAATTAGCAGGGCCCCTATGGAGGTTACCTGTGCGTGGATGGGTTCCTGGCCATTTCTTAAAATCTTTCAGAGGGTGTCATAGGGAGACCTTAAGGGGCTGCTGGAGACTTTCTCCCTGAAATGGAAAGCGAGGGCACGATTGTTTCCTCCCACAGGTGAACGCATGGAGCCGATGCAGATTTAGCGAAGGGGAGGGGAGGTAACCCATCGCTCGGAGCCGCTGCGTGGCCTCGCAAAACCGCACACGTTTGACATTTACAGCACCCGTGTTTCTGCTGGGGAACCGAGGCATTTAAATTCATTTTTATTTGTGGTGTAAAATCCATCCGAATTTCAATACTATTATGAAGACTGCATTTCAGGTGATGAGAGCAGAGGCTGATGGATCAGTCAGGGGGAGAATCTGTCAGGCGGAGACGAGAGCCCATTTGTCATAGGCTATAAACACAGACAGGGCTTCCTCTTCTCACTTATTGCCTGGCCTGGTGTGGCTAAACAGTTTCAGACCTTCTGTAAAATTGCATGGAAGAAGTTGGAGTGGTTTTCAAAGTTACGGTGACTTTCAGACTGGCTTGGACTGAAGCTGTGATTGGGAGACAGATGCTATCATGCTGGGGTTAATGCTGAGAGTTCTGAACTTGTCTTTTTATAATTCTTACTCTCATCCCCGGTGCCTCTGAATTCTCACAACAGCTATGTGTGGCAGGCACCACCATCATCCCCATTTTACAGGTAAAAAAAAAAAAAAACAAAACAAAAGGAAGCTCAGAGAGGTTTAGTGACTTGCCCAAGATCATTCAAGTTGCGTCACGAGGCCAGGATTTGAACTGAGAGATTCTTACTCCAGAGTCTGGATTCGTTCTTCCAATGCTACCCCGCCTTACACAAAAAGCAAGAATTATATTTGTAGTGTATGCGAATTGTACTTTCCAATGGATGAGTTTGTGCCTGGGCTGGTGTCTTCATCACTGCTAAGTAAATGATCCAGTTTTCACTGTGGGGCAACCTTGCAGCCCTGGTTTGCTCACAGGGGAGAGTCTTCATAGTCTTGCTGATCCTGCCCCTCTGGTGAGCACAGGATGCCAGGATGTCTTCTGGTTGTAACGATGAGAGACAGTAGCAACAGAGGTAAAGTTCTGGCTGTAGTCTCCAAAGACCTAGTTCTGCTTTGGCCGTTTCAGCAGGACGTATGCAAGGATTAGAAATTCCATACTTAAAACCCAAGAGTATCCAGAGGTAGTGGTTAAAAGCATAGACTTTAGAGCTATAAAGTCCTGGGTTTCATTCCCAAGTCTCCCACTTAGCAGCTCTGTGACCTTGCGAAGCTTCCTTACCTTCTGTCAGCCTCCATTTACTTACCTGTAAATTGGGGATAATAAAACCCACATGAAATGTTGATCTGAGGAATTGATGATACAGCAAAGCAGTTTATATAATGCCTGGTATGAATTCTTTTTACAATTTGTACAAACTAAGAACTCAATCAACTGTGGGTACTTTTATTTTTTGTTGCTGTCCATACCTACAGGCATTCCATGTTACTTATAATTAAATTCATTTTCTAAAATGAGTCCCCAGAAAGTCTTGCGGGAGTACAGAGAAGTGGGTTCCAGTAGGCCTTGGAAATATTTCACAGAGGAGGAGAAGCTTGGCATAGGTCAGGAAATAGCAAAGTCTTTGTCCTCCAGTCCAGGTGGGGATCAGACATTAGTGCAGGGAGGAGGGAGGGAGCGTAGGATAATGCAAAGTAGTGTGGACTGCAGGCACCTGGAGGACCTGGCCCCACATTCTGGGAGCTGCTATTCAGCAAAATGTGGCCGTGTGGAATAGAGGTTCGGAGTTGCCTTTTTCTAAGGTAATCTAGAAATCTGGATTTTTACAGTAAAACCACTGATTTTTAAAACTCCATGTACGAGCCAAGGAAAGCAGGA